CGGCATTAATTGTAGCTTTTTTGTTGTAAATTTGTTGTGAAAAGAAAAAGTTTGTAGCTTTCGTTTTTATGGAAAAAATTGAGTTGAAACTTTTTCGAACTAACNCGAATGCTAGTCGATGACTGATTGAAAATGTTATAACGGCATTAATTGTAGCTTTTTTGTTGTAAATTTGTTGTGAAAAGAAAAAGTTTGTAGCTTTCGTTTTTATGGAAAAAATTGAGTTGAAACTTTTTCGAACTAACTTGAATAACGCCCTATCTCAGAATTCGGTTCAAAAACGCCCTATCTCAAAGGAAAATACATTGAAAATAAGCTGAGATAGGGCTTTTTTGAATCGCCATGTAAGATAGGGCGCTCTTCAACCAATTACTGACGTCCATAAACCTAGCTGACCCAAGTCGCCAAAGATCAATAAAAATTAGCTAGGAATTAGGTGTCTTTTAGGTGTTAATTAGGGCCTCCAAAATTAATTTAGGAGTTCCTTTGGTTTCCGAGAAACTCGCAAAAATGTGTGGGTCAGCTAGGTTTACGTAAATCGTTAAATTTAGGTTTTAAATTTTGTTGTTGTTGTTGTAGCGGCTACAACATTTGCGAATTTCTCGGAAACCAATGGAGCTACTAAATTGGTTTTAGTGGCGTTGGAGAACACCTAAAAGACACCTAATTCTTGCATATATGAATTTCGAAAATTTAAAACAAAAACTTAAAGATTGTTCAGCTAGGTTAACAGCGCTAAGCTAACTGAAAAACACATTTTTGCGAATTTCTCGGAAACCAATGGAGCTACTAAATTGGTTTTAGTGGCGTTGGAGAACACCTAAAAGACACCTAATTCTTGCATATATGAATTTCGAAAATTTAAAACAAAAACTTAAAGATTGTTCAGCTAGGTTAACAGCGCTAAGCTAACTGAAAAACACATTTTTGCGAATTTCTCGGAAACCAATGGAGCTACTAAATTAGTGTTAGTGACGTTGAAGAACACCTAAAAGACACCTAATTCCTGCATATATGTAT